GCCACTGGCAGACATCTCCTGAGGGGTCCTGGACTGCGAGAGGGCGCCGGCCAGGCTGAGGGACCCCACCTCCCACCCCCAGTGCATAAATCTCATGCACCAGGCCTCTAGTCATTTATAAAGTGTCATCAATGGGTAGTTATTTTGACCTAACAAGTAACTATAAAAATAACAGAACTGGGATACTTACAGAATTAGAGAGAATAGGAGGAGTAAGAAAAACATTTCTTTTTTTCTTTTTTTTTTTACCTTAAACATCTCTAGGTTGGCTGCTTTGAGTCTTTCTTCCATTCGGGAGCTGGAACGGGGACTGGAAGCCTCATTATCAGATAAAACAATGATGTCTGGGGAGGGAGTTAGCCTTCCTCGGTCTGGCTCACTAACACGAAAAGAAAAAAATTAAGGTATGTCCAACAATGAAAGTTGACAGAAAAGTTTTTAAAACTTCAAGGGACCTTAGGTCTGTTCCAATTCACCCAGGGGAAGACAGAGAACTCAAATTGTAGGATAAAGAAGACACTAAAATGAAAGTGATGATGAAACCTCAGCAAAAGTACTTTTCCTGTCTAAATTCCTCACAGAGGATGCAGAGACAAAGTCATGGGCTTTAGAAATGGAAATAAGAGTGTTCTCATCACACTTAGTAAAGTAAAATTCTAAATGTTCTCCCTATACATCTCTCCCCTTTGGGTTGTTTCATTAGTAGGAGCAAGAAGAAAATGGCTGGTTTGACAGGCGAAGAAGGGTTTAAGGCAGTAAAGCCTAGTTGCCCACCCCAGGTACAGCTAATATGTTGCTAAGGAGATAGCTCATTATACCAGTAACATGGTCCTGGCCATCTGAGGATTTACAAGAAAGGAGGTTATATCACAACTCCATGATAGTCTTACCTTGTCAAGAGTTAAGGCAAAAGAAGGTACTGTTCTCATTGGCTTGAGGGAATGGACAATGCCAAATACAATGTCTATGGCCTTCTGGAGGACTGACACTCCAGATGTAAATATATATGGAACTTGCATCTACTTGCCAGAGTTCTGCGTAGTATCTTTCTTCAGAAAGAAACTGTCTAGAAATGAATTTGAAATCTGTCTTCCACAATGGTTCTCCTGGAGCTTATTTATTAAACAACTTTAGTTTTGGTCTTTGTGGGGCTAGCCTTGAAAGAATTCTACTTGCGTCTGGCCAGCATGGCTCAGTGGTTGAGCATCAACCTAAGAACTAAAAGGTCACAGTTCGATTCCTGGTCAGGGCACATGCCCAGGTTTTGGGCTCCATCCCCAGTGGGGGGCATGCTGGAGGCAGCTGATCAATGATTCTCTCTCTTCATTGATGTTTCTCTCTCTCCCTCCCTCTCCCTTCCTCTTTAAAATCAATTTAAAAAATATATATATACAGCCCTAACCGGTTTGGTTCAGTGGATAGAGCGTCGGCCTGCGGACTGAAGGTCCTAGGTTCGATTCCGGTCAAGGGCATGTACCTTGGTTGCGGGCACATCCCCAGTGAGGGATGTGCAGGAGGCAGCTGATCGATGTTCCTCTCATCAATGTTTCAAACACTCTATCCCTCTCCCTTTCCCTTCCTCTCTATAAAAAAATCAGTAAAATATATTTAAATATATATATAATT